GTGGCTCTATGTGGGGTAGGGGAAGGGGGACTGGGGGACTCACTTGCTTTATCTAATTTGGGTCTTATAACAAGCTGGTGAAATTCTACAATATTCCTATTATCTAGATGAGGACACCAAGTCTTAAAGATACTAAAGAACTTGTTTAAGATCTCACCAAGAGAAGAAGCATGAAGAATCACACTTAGTCTTCCCAATTCCAAATACAGACTGGGGAATGGCTGAAGGTCTAGGCCTATCGGCCCCCAGGCTGGTCATTGACTGCTACTTGAAAATATGCAGAAGGCTAAATGCCAAAGAGGGTGGACTTGCCCTTCTGGATGGCCTTGAGAGGCAGTAGGGGGGCGTGCTTTACAGGCCCAGGGCCAGCTGGCACTACAAGAACCCTAACAATAAGCACACCTGAAGGTGGGGCAGAGGTGACAGGGGCTGGTACCAGGGTCTAGCTGTCTTCCAAGGAGACATAGGAAGCGAAGTCAGGGAGGAAAACATGTGTGGGAGGCAGAAACAGAGGGGAGAGGAAGAGCTGAGGTGGTGAGTGCACCTGCTCTCGCCACTGCTGCCCCATGGTTTCCCTGTGGTGGAGTGAAAATAAGCACATGTGGCCCCCTGATATCAGGGAATCCAGTGATTTATAAACGGAAACACGTGGCAAGGTTAAAGGCTCCTAGGGTGATTTTGAATGAGACCCAGTGAGAACCATTCATCCCTGACTCCCATCAGGAAGAGGGGCCGGCAGAAATAATCTGAAAGAATGGGAGCCCTGGCCTTTCAAATCCTCCTCAGCTTCCAGGGGGGATGTGGCCTTCAGACGGTGCTCAATAAACATTTCTTGGACTATTTGGTTCCAGTCCCATTGGGAGCCAGTACTGGGCTAGCCACAGTTGTACTTTGTCCCCCCAGGTCCTCCCTACCGTGTGTGAAATATCACTGATCCTGGTGACAATTGTCTTGATGAGGGTTTTGGTGTCATCCTGGACTTTTTGGATGGGCACAGCATGGACGTAGGACAGGTAGGGCCAAAGCCACAGGAATTGGCACAGGGATCCACAGCGCATTTTCCTTCCTGGGATGTGCTTCTTGGGCCTAAAAACAGAAGGAACCACATGTTGCAAGGGGCTGGTATCAGAATATAGTGTTCTGCCCAGATCACAGAACATGCGTGAAATGGAAGCTTTGCTTTCTGCCCTGGCTTCCAGCTCCTCAAAGTCAGAGACAAGTCACAATCTAGACATGTGGGAATGAAATGCATCTCCTTGGGAAGAAGATTATGGCCTGGTCCATAAAACTGCCAGGAGAGCACAGAGCAGTGAGACGGGCTGTGATCAAAGGGATGTGGGGTGGGGGGCAATGAGGGCTTTACTGTGCACTTCAAGGGAAAGAGAGCAGACTGTGAAGGTTTGAATCCAGTCATTTACTCACTATAACTTTAAGAATATCACATAACCACCAAAAAACCTGACTCCACCTTCATCTCTTTAATATCCCCCGGCTTTTATGAGGACCAAATTAGATAATGCCTATGAAAGAGCTGAAAGGTGTGGTGAGATGGGCTCTCTCCACACTCTTACTCATCCTCTCCATTACTCTCTCCCAGCAGCCTGCTGACACTCTGCGCTGGCCTCTACCACTGGGAGCCTGAATCCCACCAGCACTCACCAATCATCATTAGATGGTCTGACATATCACCAGGCACCAAGGATACAATGGTGAATGATGGATGCTCTCTACCCTCAGGGAGCTTACAGACAAATATTCTAATACAGGAAGAAAGAGCTTTGCAAGAAGGGCAAGAAACCACCTGAGCAGCACAAAAAGGGCTCACTGGAAAAAGTGTCACCTGAGCTGGGTATTAAAGACTGAGGAGAGGTTAGCACAAGTAGAAACTGGTTATCATGAGAGGTTAAGAAATAGGTGAGTGCAAAGTCACAGAGGCAGGAGCAAGCATAACGCATTCACCCAGAATGTGTGCAATTTTCAGAGTCTTGGAACCACAAATTCTAAAATTAATTATATGCAGATCTTGATTAAGCAGCAAAGTTTTAATGAGATACATGAGAGAAAATATAATAAAGGTAAGTATATGCGAGTCTGTGACTAATGATCCATGCTAAGTATGTGTGTATGAGCCTGAAATAATAATAAAATGTAGGTAAATATTATTACGAAGGTTCTGGAGATGGTAGTAAAGTTAATCTCTGCTTTTTGTGTTCTTCCCCATCTGGGTTTTGATGAAAACAGGTAATACATTTTCTGTCCCTAGGTGGCAATATTAGAATCCATTTTCTGGCAATATCATATAAACAAGGAGTCTGTTTACAGATTATTTATAATGTTTGATCGATGGCATTTGTTAAAAATCTGAATCTTACAGAAGAGAAAAAAAATGAGACTCAGGAAGATAAGTTAACTGTGGCAGAGCCAAGATCCAGACCCAGGGCTGCCTGACCCAGACAGGCAGGTACGCTCCCAACTCCACCCCCACCACCTTCTCCCAGGCTTTAAGGAAAAGCCCAAATTACAAACCACCTCAATTCCCAGCCCAAGGCAGCTCCTGCAAACATGGCACTTGGAAACAAATACCCTGCTCTAGGATGAAGCTATGACATTTGACCCCCACGTTTTTTGTGCATTTTGTCTTTCTTACAAAAGTAAAACTTCCTCTATTAACTACTTGTTACCTGAGTAATGCACCACGTGTTTGTGGAACAGTGTTAAATAGTGCTGATCCCTAGCATGACCCCAGGAAACCCTAGCAAAGGCTGGAGGTTGTAGTGGTTAGGCCCCAGAGCTCAGCCCCAGACTCTGTCTTCATTAGCTGAGTGTCTCTGGGTGAGATAATTTAACTTCCCTAAAGCATCGGTTCCCCATCAGTAAGGTGGAGCCAATGCCACTACCTGGCTCAAAGAGTAAATGAGATGAACACCTGATGCCCCTGTGCACAGTGTGTGTGTCCAGCACAGGGGGTGGGGAGTACATGCTGGCTTCTTTACCATTATTATAATTTTCCGGGCAGGGCTTGAAACGCTCAGGCAACAGTGCCTACAGCCAACTCTGAATCTAGCATCTGGCCCACTGCCCCCCACAGGCCATCTCAACAGGGTATTTCTGGGTCTTCCCCCTACCCCAACACCCCCACCAAGGTACAAATTGGAGCTGAATCCTTTTCTAAGATTCATGTGTTAATGGCACCTTCCTTCCCAAGAGAATTTATTACCAGATTAATTCTGGTCATAGTCACTCTCACATAATGACTACCCCCTGAAACCTAAATGGAAAAACAGTTTACAAGCCACTGCCATCACCACTGGTAATATGCTTCAGTGGGTAATGAAAATAAATTGCACTTCCCTGAAAATATGGCAATGAGCTGGGACTCAGTAAGTCTGCCTAAGAGGAGAGGCCAGGTGTAGGGGAGACGTATGGTGGCTGCAGAGAGAGCTGGTAATGGGTCTATCTGAGATCAGAGTGCTGGCGAGAACCTGCCCCACCAACCTACACACACACATGCTCATGCACACACTCACCCCCCCCACACACACACGCACGCACACAATACAGGATGCCCTTTCAGTAGAGGCTGCCAGTTGTCCCCAATAGCTACTCTACCCTTCTTCCCCACCAGTAGAAAATCCCACATCTTAGGCAAGCCTGCAGCCATCCAGAATAAATACTATACTTCTCAGCTTCTCCCAACTACATATGGTCATGAAACTAAACTCTGGCCCATTAAACACAGATCACCATACCAGGCGGCAGCTCTCAGGACCCTGTCATGGGCCTCTGCCTCTTCCTTTTACATCCTTTCCTGCATTCTGCTGCCTGAAACATGAGTGTGATCACTGGCATTCTAGTATCAGCTTGGACCAGGAGGATGAAGCCCTCACAACAGAGCCTGGAGTCACAGGAGCCTGGGTTCCTGAGGGCCTCTGGAAGCAGAGATTCCACGCTGATCTTGGACAGAGTACCTAATTCTGGACACGTGCTGTATCGTTCTTTCAGGGTGCAGCTAAATGTAGCTGAATTTAATTAAAATTGACTTAATGCATCTCTACATAAACATCAGAAAAAAATGGATATCAAGTCTTCCTTGGTTCACCTGAATCTCAGTACTGGAGTGGGACCTGGCTGTGGCTGATAAGGCAAGGCAGAACATCTAGGAAGAGCTGGGTGGAGGGACCAGGAGAGGAGGGAGAATTGAAGGCAGCAAATGCAGCGTCATCTGGCACAGTGCCTGAGATATCACGATTGCTCAATATAGGTCTGGTGGCTGGCTGTTCATTGACCGCAGGGGATGGGCCAAGTACAAAGATGAAAGAGACTCGGAACCACAGGAAAGTGGGATCAGGAGTAGAGAGGGACAGGGTAGAGGCTGGTGGTTTTCCCAGGAAGCATAGGCCGTGTACTACTGTATTCAATTTTGTCAACTATTTTCATAAAGTATTTGTTCAAAATAAAAGAACAAAATTGTACCCTCAAGCCACTGGTGTAAGAATTTACATAAGTAACTGCAATGCAAGGGAGGACATTTAAACAGATAAAATGCCTTAGGGAACTCAGGGATGGAAGTCACTGTTCTTAAATTTATAAATGCTAAGGTTCAGCAGATTGTTTGAGTCAGGGTATAGGCCCTTGGGGAAGTTAGCTAACTGCTCTGGGACTCGGTTTTCCTAGCTGTAAAATGGGGGTGACCAAATCATAATGACCACCTGTGGCTATTATGTAGCCGAAATGAGATAAAGCAGCTAAAGAGCTAATTCTGTGCCTGGCATGTAGCCAACCCCAGTGTTAGGTCTCATGACCATTATTTCCAGTGAAGGAATCAGGAGGCTTCATGGAGAAGGTGGCATTTGATAAATTCCTACCTGAGAATGTGTAGGAATTGGATTTGTGAAGATGGAAGAGAGGGGCAGCCTTGGCGGAGGCGGAAGGATGCAGGTGGGGTTGGGGATGTGTACCCTACCGCACAGGGTGGGTGTGATGGGCCATGAGGCAGGGCAGGGATTGGGCAGGAGCTGTGGGCCTGTGAGGCTTCCCTCTGCTCTCGAAGAGCCGAATGTATTCCGCCTGGTTGACCAGAGGGATGGAGGCAGAAACTGGGAGAGACACAAAGAGAGATTTGAGAAAGAGGAGGCTGCTAGTACTGGCAGGAAATTCAGGTGACCTGTCCAGCTGCCAGGTGGAGTCTGGAGTCTAAGCTCCTGGGATGTAGATCTAGGGGCAGCAGCTGGGTAGACCACAGGAGAGTGTGGGGAGAGCCAGGGAATGGGGTGCTTTGGTCAGGAAGAAAGGCTGCGGTCAGCTGTCAGTGGTCAGCCATCTTCCTGGGTAGCAAAACCTTTCCTCCCCCCAAATTTTCAAAGTGGTTTTGAACATTTAGGGGCTGTCACTTTCTAAAAGTTAAAAGATGAACCACTGAAATGTTGACACAGCATCTTTTCTGTCCTCTGAGCATGGTTTGAAGGGGTGTCAGGAGAGAGGAGGGGAGCTCCAGGGCAGTAGGCAGCCCCTCTCCGCCATCTCCATCACGCCCTGTGCCTCTTGCCCCCTAGGGCCACCTCACTCTAGCTATTCCCAGGCTGTCTTCCTTCTCCTTTAATTAAGGGTCTGCGTCTCCCATTATCTCTGCCATCATTGCCTGCCATGGTGCACTGGAGGAGAAAAGAGAAAAACTAGGAAGAGCAGCCCCAGGGCAGCCCTAGATAATGAAATGTAATCACAGAAAGTAGGCTGGGGCCAGTGAGAGGCTCAGAGAGCTGCACCATCCTCCCTGCCTCTGTCTGACTTCACCCAGTCCCACCTTTACTCATCCTCAGGTATACTCCCCCCCCCCACTTCCCCAAGAAGCTGGTGGCCTCCAGACCCAAGCTGCCTGGCCTTGCCTCTACCCCAGGAGAGGAGGCAGACTAAGAGAGGCCTCAGCATGAAGGTGGGAGTGGGGGTGGGCAGAGATGTTCACTGCTTCTCTAGATCCACTTTTCTACATATCCATTGATTCTTTACTACTCAGGAGTCCTCAGATTTTAAACAGGGGACCAGTTCACTGTCCCTCAGACCGTTGGAGGGTCGGACTGTGGGCCCT